CACAGGTCAGATAGTAGCAGCAAGAACAATGGATTTCAACCACATTCTTCTTAGCACATTCGTCCCACCTACTGCAGCCAACAGACACCTGTATTGTGTCCAGAGCCTATTAACAATAGGAATGGGGAGGAGCATTTGGGAGGGAAACATACCAGTAGACCCAGAACAGAGGGTCAGTCATTGCCAAGGCTCAGATGCCTGGAGAAAATTTCCCTGTGAGGCTGATTTCACTAAGTTTGACAATACAGATCTGTGTCCAATTTCCCAGTTCAGAATTTCAGACTGGATTAGAGAGACGGCAGCAAGACTCAGCGGAATTTCTGAGACTGCCCCTCCTTAGATTAGCGTCAGCTCTTTCTCACTGACACGGCATGGTTTAGGGAAGTGCTCTGTGCATTAGTCTTGTTTACTAAAAAAAAAAAAATATCTTAAAAGTTTAAGAGATCCACGCAGCATGATCCCCAAGGGGGAGCACAGAGCCCAATCTGACATCATGGAAGTCAGAGGCAAGATTTGTTATTTACTTCAACAGGAGCAGGATTTGGTCCTAGAGAAGTACTTTAGTTCTACCTTCAGATGTCAGTCAACTTGATCCAATAGAGTTGTCTTCCAGACCACCCTAGTGCTGGCAATAGGAACTCACACTAACCCCATCCGCCACAAGTTTGATTAGAAGCAAAGTCTTTCCTATGGATCAATCACTGAGACCCTCTTCCCCCCATAGACTCCTAGCTACAGTACTTCATATCACATGATGCTTGGATTTTACCCCCTATGGCAGCTAGTGCTAGGCTTACCTTGCGGACGCTGTTCAGGACAAATGGCTTCCCGTTATCGTCCCGATATGCCCCAACACCCAGGTTCATCTTCTTGGCATTGGTGTCTCGTTTAAAGGCTTCAGTCACCCCCAAAATAGGATCAGGGGGTCCCATCTCCACATGAGACCACCAGGAGCTGCACAAGGAATATAAGTGGGAGGATTAGGTTAATGAACAGAAGGAAATGGTCATGGCCTAATGCTGTTTGTTATATCCTGGCCGATGGGCCCAACTGTAGCAGGATCTCTTTGGCACTGGTATCCACGGCTCAAGCTGAAGTATTGTATCTACAGACCCAACAAGCCATAGCTTCCCTCTCTCTCTCCACAGACTAACCCTATTCCCACTGCAGCATGTTTATAAGGGAGACTAACATGCTAGCTTCTCAGTTAAGCCAATATGAAATAACTGGGAGAGCCCTCATCACCCAAACCTGCTGTGTGCCTGATCTTAAGATTTTCTCCTCACTCCGTGGCAGAAGGGTATTATCATGACAGCACGGTGCCAGTCCCACTCGCATACTTGGAAGAAATCAAGGTGGGATTTTCAAAGGGGACTGCAGCGGCAGTCAAAAAAGCAAACAGAATGTTGGGAATCATTAAGAAAGGGATAGATAATAGGACAGAAAATAATACATTGCTTCTATATCTATCTCTATATCTCTATCTCCATGGTACACCCACATCTTGAATACTGCGTGCAGATGTGGTCGCTCCATCTCAAAAAAAGATATATTGGAATTAGAAAAGGTTCAGAAAAGGGCAACAAAAATGAGGAGAGATTAATAAGACTGGGACTTTTCAGCTTGGAAAAGAGACAGCTAAGGGGGGAGGGGGGAATATGATAAAGGTCTATAAAATCATGACTGACGTGGAGAAAGTAAATAAGGAAGTGTTATTTACTCCTTCTCATAACACAAGAATTAGGAGTCACCAAATGAAATTAATAGACAGCAGGTTTAAAACAAACAAAAGGAAGTAGTTCTTCACACAGTGCACAGTTAACCTGTGGAACTCTTTGCCAGAGGATGTTGTGAAGGCCAATAGATAAGTTCATCAGTGGCTATTAGCCAGGATGGGCAGGGATGCAAAACCATGCTCTGAAATGTCCCTAGCGTCTGTTTGCCAGAAGCTGGGAATGGGCAACAGGGAATGGATCACTTGATTACCTGCTCTGTCCATTCCCTCTGGGGCACCTGGCACTGGCCACTGTCAGAGGACAGGATACAGGGCTAGATGGTTTGACCCAGTCTGGCCATTCTTATGCAAGGGAGTTTGAAACTTTAGCAAGAGTTGGGTGCCTAAGTCCCGTGGGTCCCATTGAGAGTCCCAGTCTAAATCGCTGATGTCGTTCAAATGCAAACTGTGACACCATCTCAAGGCAAGCGGCAATGACCCTCTGCTCAGACACAGTGCAGGCAGATATGGCACAAGCGCCGCTGCACTGATGTCAAGCATCATCGGAGGGAAAAGCCAGCCTCTCTGTTGTAACGGAAAGGATTCTGTATGAATGCAGCGTTGCACTTCATCAGGGCATTTCCAAGCCAGTAGCTGGTGCAGGATTATTGGGTGACCTGGATGCCTCAAGAAGTGACAATTTCAGTCTGGACTCTAAATTCAAGAAGCTGTGTCTCTCTCGATTAAGCTACATGCACAACTCAAGACTGTACTCAGCCTCCCCACTCCAGACTAAGAACTTTTACAGTGTCAGAGGCAGTTAAGATCACTGCTAAGAAGAGTCATCCTGGAAACAAAACCATTTATGCTCCATTACATGCTCAAATCACTAGACATCTGGAACAACATTTAGACTTGCTTCAGTTAAGCAAACAGCTCCAGCTCAATCCAGCCTCTCTGTAAATCATTAATGGGTAGCAACTAAGGGGTCTGATGATTGTCAGATGTGCTGGGCAGCCAGAACTCCACTGGAGTCAATGGGAGCTGTGGGTGTTCAGCACTAAAAAGGCTATAACAGACAAAAACCACAGTTGCATTTTTTACACTGTCCTAGATGCATCTTTAGTACTGTTCTGTGATGGTAGGCTCTTCAGGCCAGGGACCATTCCTACTTCTTCTTACCCAGCGCCTAGCATAACCAACTGGGAAAATCCCCAATATGTCTTATGAATATTGTGTAAAGTAAAACAATGACAGAGATAAGTCCCAGCTTCAAAGGAGTTAAGACAGCCCTCAGCTGGTGGGAGAATGCACCTAGCTGGCTCCATCCCGGCTAAGCCTGGGATCAAGGAGACGTAACCCCTAAAAGATCCTAAAAATGAGGGGGGAGAGTTGGGGGGGGAGAGTTGAGATAGCCTTTGATGCATCTTGGCCAGCCTGACAGTGTCAAAGACAGAGGGACCAAGGCTGTAAGCAGCATAGGCTGTTTCCCCCAACTCAGAGATGGGGACTAAGCCATACCCACCTGAGCTATCAATAAAAACACTAAGATTAGGTAAGGGTGTATGTGTGCAGGCCTGTTATTTTAAATGAACTTCTCTAAGCACTGTATCTTTTGGGAAAGTGTCATGCTTTATTTTGAAGACACTGTTCCTGTATCACTGCAAACATATGCTGTCACAGGCTCCCAAAGGGAAACCCTGGCAGGGTCCGACCACCCCAGTTAGACCAGCTGAATTAGTCACGGTTCGTATATAGGGGCTGGAACCCAGGTCCTGATTTGAGAGAGAGCAAACTGGAGAAGGCCTGATCCCTGAGAAGGGACAGGGGTGCAACTAGCCCTGTAGCCGCCCCACCTAGCACAACACTCAAAATCCTGATCACAGCTGCTGGACATTACTGCAATGTAAGTGCTGAATGAAGAGTGCAGACTCTCATCATAAGCACAGACCACGTGAATTTAGAAACCCCTCTCAACTCAGTACCATTACATTTAGCCCACAGAACTGCTTTGACTGGGCGTGGTATGCAAACATTCACATTCCATTGTGGAGAATTGAAGCTTTCGACAGCACTGAATTCAAATGTGTTACACCACCCTTCACCGTCCTGAATGACATAAAAGGCACTGACACACACTCACTTATCTTGCACCTGATCAGGGAGAAGTCAATTTGCTGGCACAATCCCTTTTCTCCAGTGAATTATGATTTCAGGGTTTGATGGTCCAACCCTGCCCTCCACACCAAAGCAAGAGTTCCGTTTTCTTTCAGTGGGAGCTTTGCTCCCCAAAGAGTGCAGAACTAGTGCCTCAGAGAGCCCCAGGGCTATTTTTTCTAGTGACCTGCTTGTATCTGTCCTACTGTCACTCCAAGGAAGAGGAAAAGCCCTCTTAATGTCAAGGACACACCAGACAGACTATAAAAAGAAACCTTGTTATTTCTGTTGGGCCACAGCTGCACTCAACCTCTGCAGGCGGTAGAGGTGACAGAGAATGAGGCCTGGAATTTTTAATGCTGCACCCTCAATTTGATGAGCAGGTACAGTTTTAATGAGGGTCTCCATCATGAACAGCAGGACTATTAAGGAGAATACCTCATGCAGCTCTGAGCCATAGACTGACAATCTTTATACTGAGGGCTTATCACAAATATGTATCTTCACCCCCTACCCTAGGATCAGGCGGTTTGGGAAGTTTCTGGCAGAATGTGACAAGTGACAGGAGATTACCACTGAGAGGCAGTGAGGTCATGGGATAGGGTGCTGCACGGGGACTCAAGAGGTCTGGTTTCTTTTCTTGCTCTGCCACTGACCTATGATACATCGGGCCAGTCACGTCTCCTCTGTGCCTCCATTTCCTATCCCACCATTTGTCTTGTCTATTTAGATTGCAAGGTCTTTGAGACAGGGACTTTTACTGTGTGTGTATATAGCACCTAACACGATGGAACCCAATCTCAGTTGGGCCCTCTGGCCACTACTATAATATAAATAGTTGCCTAGACGGCCTATTTTTATGTGGCACTCATCACCATCGTAATTTCCTAATAAAGTCCATTTCTCTATTGCTACTGGGAGGAGCATCTTGAAAGGATGTAAAGATGTGTGTCAGCACAAGCCTTAGGGTCCTTAATTGGTTTTAAAATTGACAATATTTTTGTTTTGGAATTTATGGACAGTTGAGTATAGAAGCTGTTTATATTTTAAGTGCAGCATCAGCTGAGGGAGGGGGAATCAGTCACATGTTTTGGATATTCATCCTCAGCTCATCTGCTTTAAAGGTGCGTATGAGCAGCCAGAGCTTTTAAAGCTACTTTAAGTTAAGTACAATATTGTTTTGTGTTCCTTCAGAAGTCACTGTCTCTGCAAATAACTGGTAACTGCCCCGAACATGGTTTGTGGTGTTTCCACGTTACAAGAGAGCCATAAAAAAAATGATCTGTACACTAGTGAACCTCCTGCAACGCACACACACCCCTACCAATTTTTTAGGTACTTAAATTGAGCTGCAAAAGTGAAGGCTACTTTTGCAGGACCCTTGTAATTACATTTGAGATGGTGAAAGTCCTTTGTATTTTTACAGCGTCTTTCATTCAAGCAGCTTGAAGTGCTTTATGTATTAAGGTCCCATACTTGGAAACACTTAAGCAATCAATGAACTAAATGCATCTGAAGAAGTGAGATTTTTACCCACGAAAGCTTATGCCCAAATAAATCTGTTAGTCTTTAAGGTGCCACCAGACTCCTTGTTGTTTTTGTAAATGGGACTACTCATGTAGCTAAAAACTGCTTAGTGCCTGATCCTGCAGACTAACCCTCAACACTCCTGTGAGTTAATTACTTCCATTCCAAGCCTGTTTTCACTGGCTCCAGATTAGCTTTAGGGCTGATGATTTTCATGTTCATTCTCAGCCAAGAAATGAGTTTTGGGGTGAAGGCTGAAGAAAGTTTCTTTACTGTTTATCGTTTATTGAATTTGGAAGGAGGGAATAGTGTTCAGCTATTTAAAAGAGAAATGAGTTATTTAAATTAAAAAAAAAATATATCCCCAAAACCAAACCAAAACAAACCCAGCTAACTGGCAGTTTCCTTTCACAGTTCAGATTTTGCTTTTATCAAGGAGAAATGTCTGCTTTGCTTTCTAGAAGTGGCTGAAAACAGAAGTAAAATATGTAATTTTCCTTGCCAGTTTCAGTGCACATCATGTGCTGTTATCTAACCAACTCTGGATAGCCACACA